CCCAGCTCGAAGCGCTCGTCCTTCAGCGCTGTGGACACGGGGTCAGCGGGGTCACACAGGGGTCAAGGGGTCACCCAGGGGTCACCCAGGGGTCATGGGGTCACCCACAGGGTCACCCAGTGCCACCCACGGTCACCCCCAGCTCGAAGCGCTCGTCCTTCAGCGCTGCGGACAGAGGGGTCACCCAGGGGTCACAGGGTCACCCAGGGGTCATGGGGTCACCCAGGGGTCACAGGGTCACCCACAGTTACCCCCAGCTCAAAGCGCTCGTCCTTCAGCGCTGGGGACAGAGGGGTCACGGGGGTCACACAGGGGTCAGCGAGGGGTCAGCGGGGTCACTCAGGGGTCAGCATGGGGTCACCCAGGGGTCACCCAGGGGTCACCCAGGGGTCACCCAGGGGTCACCACAGGGTCACTGGGGGGTCACAGGGTCATGGTGGCACCCACGAGGTCACCAGGGGGGTCACAGGGTCACCCACGGGGTCACAGACTCACTCCCCCAATGTCCCCAACGTCCCCAATGTCATTTTTCTCAAATTTTCCCCCATTTTTGCCCAATGTCCCCTTGATGTCCCAAATTTCTGCATTGTCCCCAGTGCCATTTTTCTCAATTTTCCCCCATTTTTCCCCATCTTTTCCCCATTTTTCCCCCATTTTTCCCATTTTTTCCCATTTTCCCCCATTTTTCCCCATTTTTTCCCCATTTTCCCCCTTTTCCCCCATTTTTCCCATTTTTCCCAATCCTCGGCGTCCCTCACCGCGGGTGCCATTGAAGAGCGTCTGCCGCGCGGGGTTCCGTGTCCCAATCCCATTTTCCCCCATTTTTTCCCATCTTTTCCCATTTTCCCCCATTTTTCCCAATTTTTTCCCCATTTTTTTCCCATTTTTTCCCAATTTCCCCCATTTTTCCCCGGCGTCCTCACCGCGGGTGCCGTTGAAGAAGAGCGTCTGCCGCGCGGGGTTCCGTGTCCCAATCCCATTTTTCCCCATTTTTCCCATCTTTTCCCCATTTTCCCCATTTTTTCTCTATTTTCCCCCATTTTCCCCATTTTTTCCCATTTTTCCCCATTTTTTCCCCAATCCCCTCGGTGTCCCGTGTCCCTCACCGCGGGTGCCGTTGAAGAAGAGCGTCTGCCGCGCGGGGTTCCGTGTCCCAATCCCATTTTCCCCCATTTTTTCCCCATCTTTTCCCCATTTTTTCCTCATTTTCCCCATTTTTCCCATTTTTTCCCATTTTTCCCCATTTTCCCCCATTTTTTCCCCATTTTCCCCCATTTTTCCCATTTTTTTCCCATTTTTTCCCAATTTCCCCCATTTTTTCCCCAATCCCCGGTGTCCTCACCGCGGGTGCCGTTGAAGAAGAGCGTCTGCCGCGCGGGGTTCCATGTCCCATTTTCCCCCATTTTTTCCCCATTTTTTCTCTATTTTTCCCCTTTTTTTCCCCATTTTCCCCCATTTTTCCCATTTTTCCCCATTTTTTCCCATTTTTCCCCAATTTCCCCCATTTTTCCCCATTTTTCCCCGGCGTCCTCACCGCGGGTGCCGTTGAAGAAGAGCGTCTGCCGCGCGGGGTTCCATGTCCCATTTTCCCCCATTTTTCCCCATTTTCCCCCATTTTTCCCCATTTTTTCCCAATTTCCCCCATTTTTCCCCATTTTTTTCCCATTTTTTCCCAATTTCCCCCATTTTTCCCCATTTTTCCCCGGCGCCCTCACCGCGGATGCCGTTGAAGAAGAGCGTCTGCCGCGCGGGGTTCCATGTCCCATTTTCCCCCATTTTTCCCCCATTTTCCCCATTTTTTCTCTATTTTTCCCCATTTTTTCCCCATCTTTTCCCCATTTTTCCCATTTTTTCCCATTTTTTCCCAATTTCCCCCATTTTTTCCCCAATCCCCGGTGTCCCTCACCGCGGGTGCCGTTGAAGAAGAGCGTCTGCCGCGCGGGGTTCTGGATGACGACGATGGAGCCGTCGTACCTGTGCAGGTGACAGGTGATCTCGGCCGTGCCGCCCTCCAGCACCGTCACGTTCTCGGCCTGCACCTCCTGCGCCCGCCCTGGGGACACCCACGGGACACCCATGGGACACCCACGGGACACTGGGACACCCACGGGACACCCACGGGACACTGGGACACCCACGGGACACTGGGACACCCGCGGGACACCCACGGGACAC